ATTATTATGATATAATTATCATTCCCTTGGGTTCTTGGTGGAACATAGGGCCTCAGCAAGATGTCTCCACTTTCTTCTATTTCCTGCCATCCTCTTAGACTGGGTCCAGGATTGCCCATAATTTCTCATCTCTTCATCACACGATCTCCTCTATGTCACCCTTGTACTGGCAACCGACTTGTCGCTTCCCATTTGGATTCCACTTGAGTCATGGCCTGGCGCGCGATGTCACACGACGATTTCCTCAATGTATGTCCGATCCATCTCCATTTTCTCTTACATATTTGTTGAGTGATCGGCCCTCGCCTGTTGGTTTGTTCCACTGTAGAGTTTCATGCTGCTTATTCTTCCTGGCCACCTAATCTTCAGTATAGAGCCAGCGACGGTGGCAGCTGTTGGTGAAAGTTTGCAACCGGTTAGAAATTCTTTTAGTGACGCGCAGTGCAATTTTCTGACCCATATAGAAGTATTGACTTGACATTGGTGTTGAAAATGCGAATCTTGTTACTTATGCTGAGTTAGTGCATAAGATTTCCAAATTGGTTTCAGGTAGATGAAGGCGTACGTATCTTGTCTTTTCGATTCCGGCTGGCTGGCTTTGACATCCTCATCCGTTCCGACTACCTATATTTGAAACGATGCTTGCTAGATAAGTGAAGGAGGTAACCTCTGTCAAATTTCTCCCATCGATGGTGACTGGTGTTGGTTGTTGCAGTTCATGTTGGTTGATTATCTTTATTACCTCCGTTTTCTCTATGTTCATCTGGAGTCCTGTCTTCTCTGCCTCTTCTGCCAGTTTGTCGATTTTCGCATGCAAGTATTCGAGGTTGTGTAACATTAGAAATATATCATCTGCGAAATCCAGACCTTCTAGAGTCTTCTTATCGGTGGTCCAGCATATTCCTGTCTCCTCGCTCCCAACTCACAGTCTGACGCATAATCCAGTCCACCACAATTAGGAATATCATTGATGATAATAGTCAGCCCTGTCTTACTCCTGTATGCACTTCAAAGATAGGTTTCGCTGAGTTTTCCGTTGTGGATCACCTGACCCGTGACATTATCATATAGCCAGCTGTTGAATGAGGTTGATAAAGACTTGGGCCTTGCACGCCGTAGTATTGAGTTAGTTTCCACATTATTTCTCCGTGGACGCTGTCTGGTGAAGGCCTTTTCAAAGTCAATGAAGTTTAGGTAGAGTTTTTAACTGCCACTCAGTTTAATTAGCAATTAACAAACACATACTATCATAGACCAAATTTACCAGCTAATAAAAAGTATATCACATGACATGCAAGTTCAAATCCCAAGTCAATAAAAGTGATCAATAGAAACGTAAATTAACAAGCAGTCACAACAGTGGTCGACAGGAGACACAATTATATCATTCATGGAGAATTTAAATGAGTTCATTTTATACTACAACCTGTGCTGAAGATGTTATCTAGCAGGACGATGCAAGCTTCGCAATTAAATCAACCAGCTCCTCAGAGAACACAGCTATAAATTAAAAATAGTACTTGAGAGAATCAGGCGTATTGTAAACGACTATCACTGCCATCCAACAAACACTTTTTAAAACAGAAAAGCCAAAGCTATTGACTAACGCTGAGAAAGCATCTTAAATACTATCCACGACAAAGGATAACACTGCAATCACCTATATGTGTAGTACTTAGTTTTGCGTAAAAATCATGTCAATATATAACAAACCTAACAAATTTAGTATCATGAAACTATTATAAATAAACCAGGTAAAAAATCCGTATATGAATTTGTTCATATTATTCGTCAATAATCCTAAACCTCGACTAACCAGTAGTTAAGACGGAAAAGAGAGAAGGTTCGGTGTAAGTCTAACAAATCCATCAAGTAAAAAAACACCACTGCATCTGGAACTGCAAAGCTTGAAGCCATATTTTCCAGTCGGAAAGCAAGAAATAAACATAACTGTCAGTAATAATTACTCAATACATGTGACACGAAATATACGAACTATGCTTTCCAGCCGAAATTATACAACTGCAGATAAGAAATGAAAATGATCAGAGGAAGGCTGGATCCAATTTTTGTCTCCCAACCGATGAACACAACTGCTAATAATTTACACATGTTACGATTTGTATAATGCACGGTATTTCTTTCAATCAGATCAAAACGTGCTATGTCATTCTTGCCCTGAAATGCATATTCTTGGTAAAACCTAATGTAGCAGTTTATTTGTATAATATTTATAAGAATCCGATAAATTTTTGGAGTTATTTGCAGTTTGAAATTTGGAAAATAGGTAGAACGAAGAAATATCCTTTGAAAATATACGCTATAAGCTAATATTAATGGGACAGAATAACTGAGAAACGACGTACGTGGATATTGTATTGAGTTTCTTCATTACCAACTCAGTGATCTAGCGGTTGAGCTAGGTCTTGCAGAAATGGAGGTCAGCAATCACATGGAATATGTTAAGGAATAGGGGAATGTTTTAATTATTTGGTTTCAATCTTTTCAGTGGCGAACTCAAATTTATTCAACGCAAAAGATAGAATCATTAAGATCTTAAGTTATTTACTGTTTGCAAATTCTTACTAAGATTAGTTCAGTTCTGAAACCACTCCATCACGAATTCAAATACATAAAGTATTAACAACTGCAGTAAATGAGTCTTCTGTAGCCTCAAAATTCGCTACTTGGAACATATAAATATAATTAAATTAAGCATAGACTTAGAAATTCCTGGATAACTATTACCAGTTTTACTGTATATATGTGCATTTCATCACGTATTCACTTTACTGCATGCAGTTCATTCTCCTAAATGTATTATTAAAAGAAAGATACTTATGGCTTATTTTAATCACAAAATATCCATTACTGATCCATTTAATAATGGTTAGCATGGAGGAGCATTTAATTATTGGCTTACATTTTCTCAGGAAAGAAAAGCCTATTCTCAGGAGTTTTCGTTGTAGCTATTTGATTGATATCAAGGTAGATTTCATCACGAACTGAGAGTTACTGTTGTGGTCCACTAAATTACATGTCAGAACAGACTCTAGCCACTAACGTTGGATTAAGATGGTACTATATCTCCAACTTATATATATATATATATATGAATTCTCATCTCACTAGACTCCATCCCAGTGACTGAACAGTAACATATTCACCTTGGAACCTGAAAGTCTTCAGTTTATTCCCCGATGAGGTTGTGGTCCCCAGAGTCAAAGATTCGCAAACTAGGACTAAACAGTTGTCCAGTGCACCTTAGTTTTCAACGGTTCTTCAGATGATATCACTTCTTGACAAAATCTACCATGAAGCAAAGATTTCACAATATTATTCAGCTAAGTTTTCAAAGTTTTTTAGATTCGTAATAAAGCATAGGCACTGAATGCTATCACTAATAAGTGCTTACAGTTAATACAAAGATGATACATCTCAGAGTTAACGCATGCAGATTCAAATTTACTCATTATTATCTTTTAAAAATTATGAATTAATGACTACGGTATATTCTAATAATCTAGTCGTGGAGTGTTTGATTATCAGTTATATAGAAGCACATCCATACCAATAAGAAAATGCCCAATTACACTTGATAAAATCTACATGAGTTATCTTTCAGATTTGGAACTTTTTCGATTTTAGAGTCAAACTGACAGTTTCTTTCAAGCACACTGAATCAGTATACAAACAGTTAATTACCATATAAGATGGTAAACTTAAATTATTCAGAGATAATCCATTATATAATAAAGTCTGACGTTTATAAGACCTGAGCATCATAAGTTATGCCACTAATCAATTTGTTGCTGAAGCAACAAACTAAGATAAAGCAGGTTTTTTGTACTACTGACGAATGCCCATATATCCAATATCATCAGTGAAGAATATCAAAATAGATTTCCAAAGATTCTTATGCAAAGTCGCTACCATCGTGGTTTAGATAATCCAGCTTTAAGGATAGATAATCACAAATCCCACTGAAATACAATGGTATCATATAATGAGTTGGCGAAAAATGGAAATAATGTCCCACTAAATTCTGGTCCAATAGGTGGTTTGTGCTGCACCCACTTCCTCGCTTGCTGGTGTTTGATTCAACTTCATACCTGTTTGTAATTATGCCATATTGTGTACTCTAACTTGTGACATTCGATAATCAACACTTTGCTGTCATCAGTATCTTTCTACTCTGCAATCCATACAGTTTGATGACGATTTGAACTAAAAATTATAATATATTTACATTTTGAGCACCTTAATTTAAAACATTTTCTTCCCCCATCATTCCAAAATTTATGTTATTTCCATTATTTTATAATTCTTGTAATTTCATGTAGTCTGAAGCTGATGAGAACCTGTAAAAAATAGAATTGACATGATAATATATTATGAATATGGTCTTTCTGGCTTTAATGAAATTTCAGTAGAAGTCCTCTAATGTACAACTGATTTTCAGTGACATCAATTATCCAAATTTATCAAGGGTACCATGCAAATAAAATATCCTAAGGGTTTCTAGTAACCTGTTGTATAATTTAACATTAAATCGCATTGGATTTTAGTTCTTTCCCCCTTACAGAAATATTTAATTTTCTAAGTAGCAATTTTTTTCCAATAAGCCAATATCTAACAGACAGAGATTACTCAATGTTCAGGTGTATACTCATGTGTCAGAATTAATTATCCAATTAGCTTTGAGCTTACAAATGTCGTAACATCATTATGATTTAATGTACTGCTTACTTGTCATTGGTTATCGGTAGAAAATTTCTTACAGCATCCCAACAACAACAACCACAACAACGGAAAAAAAGAAGAGTACCCTAATTTATTTTTCTCACCCCCCATCCCCCACCGTACATCGCCACCACCCCCACATAATTATGCTTGAGCAAAAAATAATCTGATTGGATGAAGTATGAGTCATTCCTATAACGGAGCCTATATAAACATGACTTGCCATTATGATGTAATGATATTACTACACTCTTTTAATGATGGATTTACAAGTGAACCAGAATATTTTGGATGTAAATAATTCAGAAAGTAATGAGAAGAAGTGTATCCCTTCAAAAAACGAAGAACCTACGACCAAAACATGTTCTAAAAGAGGTAGAAAATCAACTGTTCCACGAGAAATAAGAGAACAAACAAGACGAGTAAGTTTTTAGACGTTTTTGTTGTTATGCAGTTAGCATTTGTAAAATAGTCGACGCGTACTTCTTCAGTAGTACTAGCTATTATAAAGGTGTCGTTATAGGCAAAACAAACTTGAATTCCTTATGAATGAACTGAATAATGATAATTAGTATAATGTGATTAAGAAATATACCTACTGATGAAGCGTTAACATAGTATGATTGATGTATCCGGTGATAATTGAAGTTGGAGTGAAAATATTAATGACAGCAAGACTCAGACTGGCTACCTGTGGATTATACTGTACCAGCTGATCTCAGCGAACCAGATTTTCATTTTACCTTCAATCATTAACCATCGCATAAAACATACTAATGTCTATTTAGATGCAACTGTGTCAGGCATAGACACGATCATCTGTATTAAAATGCAAATATAATTTTTGTCTATAAACTTTTGGTTAAAAATTTATGAAACAGTATGATGAGGACTTCAATGATCTGTGATCCCCTGCAGATACACATTAAAATATTATGCTTAGAAAACCATACTCCGACTCTATAAATACTCTGAGATGTAGTATTTTAATTAGTTTATTATTTTATTCCTGTACGTTCCCAGTGGAACATAGGGCTTCAAGCTAGAGGCTTGTAGTTTCTGTAGCAGTGGTTTTTATTTTTACGGAGTGGGATTGCTAGCCTCATGTCCAACCTTCTCTCTTTACCAGTTTTATTATCGGCTTAGTGAGGTAAAGGAATGTGTTGGCCTGGGATCGAACCCTGGACCACATGCATGGTTGGGGAGCATTCTACCGTTAAGCTACTGACGCACGAGATGTAGTATATAAGCCAGAAATATAGCGGAGATACTTTGATATTAGTTTTTACAGTGAAAACTGATGTAACTACAAGTTTACTATGCTATACACCTAACAAAAAAGTAGACATAACTCATTCTCCAAGATATTGTCATATTCACTAATGAGGTAACGTTGAGTACATTACACATATACTGGCTTCTTTGTGAACATAATGTACATGAGTGATAGTCGTCATAGTTTTTTATCTTATGATTTGTTTTTGCCACAGGCTCACAGACGAAGACATGACGCTCGAAATGAGCATCATTTTCTGATGACTTACCAAAAGTTATATAAGCATCCATTGGACTTAACTGATCACTGACATGATCCTTATTGAGATCTATTTTGATTAAGTTCGAAATTTTTATGTGATCTCAGGATTACTGGGTGAGAATAAGAGAAAATCTGTGGCAAGGCATAATTTTCCCAGTATTACAGAAAGACCCTTTTTCTATAAGAGACAAAGTAACTTAGAAGCTTTAAGATATCATTTATTAGAACTATAGTTATGTTCACTGGGAAAATTAGGTTCCACTGTCAATGGTGATAGGATATGATTATAATTATTACTATTATAATAAAAACAGGGACGAACAGATATATTATTTGAATTTTGTCTGATACTTGTCAACTTTTGGCATCAATCACTCTGCCAAGGGTTGGATCCTGGGTCTTCAAAATCCGACACACGTATATTTTAACTCTATTGTTGGCGTGATTTAGGTTTCCCGCAAAATCAAAATTTCTTTCTATGCCATCCTATATAATATTCCAAATCTATTCTCATTTCTACTTGGGTAATCATCAAGTTTTTCACCATTTAGGAGTGGTTATAGTGAAGTATATTCTTTTTATGCAATTACTGATAGCTTATACATCCATATCGTTTAATTTCAGATTAAAAAACAAAATATCGAACGAAGTCGACGTGCGTGTATTGCCAATCAGATGACTGAATTGCATAAACTTGCAATGAATTTAATTGGATTAGAAGTAAGTCGCTGTCATTTAAAAATGTTCACCACTTATTTTTCGCCAATTACCTCAACAACACAAGATATCTAAAACAATAATCCCTGTAGACAATTTAAATGATACCATCAGTCTCGTAGATAACCGTATACCATGATAATGACATAAGGAACTAAAAGACGCATAGACTAGCGATGAGTAATCAAATTAGATAACCAATGTGGATTTTAATTATGTCTACCCTAATCTATTAGTCACTGTAGGCAAAACTAAGATTATTTATACATGGATATGTAAACTTGGATTATTATGTAATACAGTGTATATATATTTATATATAAATCAATAACAATGAAGGTCTTCTCTATGGTTTGTTCAGTGAAACATATTTAGCAAGGTATAAAGGATAGAATAAATAGTTATAATCGATAGGGTCTTTGGAGTTTATAGATTATTTATTATTTTCCAGACTAGCACGATGGAATTGGATCACTTGTTGTCCAATCAATACACCCCTGGTATTCATGTGATCTGGAATCTTCTGTTGGTTCAACTGAGCAGTTGTAAACAGTTGTGCTAACTAGATAGAATGAAACGATCTAAACATTGGACAGTCGTTTCTCTCACTTAGAATCAGGCTAGTAAACATTTAAGCTCAATTAGACTCAGCTTAGATTGTAGAATAACCTCAAAATACTAGTACTATGGTTAGCTAATTGTAAAAAAATGGGTAAAATAAGGGATAATTTGTAAACTGCATAGTACTGACAACCATGAAACTGAATCTATTATCTGAAATGTTATAAAGTTATAAAATCGATTCAGAAAGTAGTATGATAGCAGATAGAGATATGTATAGATTTATACATTTATCTACGACATTAATCCCCCGTTTTTATTCTTTTTCTTCTATTTGATTTCTTAAAGATTTCTGAACAGACAAAAATTGAAAAAGTAGATATTTTACGCATATGTTACGAAGTTTTTGGAAATGTTGGAATCCTGTTGAATGAAAGACCTGGTAAGTTTTCTTTCTACTGTTCAGTAATTATACCACAATTAAAGATAAGCTAAAGAAATAGTGATTAGTAGTCAATGAGAAAATACGAATACTTTTAATGCTATAAGTTTATCGGATCTAATTTATGTTCCATGTCTAGATGACAATGCGAATTTTCAAGACTTCCTAACATTCATTTTAAAGTCTGAGGTTGAGAAATAGTTAACTGCAGTTTCATACTGTCTGTTTACACGAGCTGGGCAGGATCCATAGCTGGATTGCTCAGGTGATTTAACTCACAACCAAATACAATGTAGCCAATATATCCAGGTTAAAATCACATCTTTATATTTCTCTATTATCATCAATTTTTATCTTGTCACCAGTACGTACCTAGTTGGTGCTTACTGCCATTGATTCCCAAACTAGGATGAAACAGCTGTCCAGTACTCCCTGGTTTTCAATGGTCCTCTAACTGATATCAATCTGTGATCAACTCGTAAAAACAAAACTATCCCTTACAAACCAACTATAGAAAAGAAAATGTATTAATTTAAATAGTTTTAGAATTCTGTCAGGTTCGACATAGATACAACTTCAGTAGTGTGATAGATTGTAACTCAGTATTCATTATGCTTATAAAATATATCACATAGTTTCATGTAATATAATACAGAATAATGTTTTTATTATAATTTATTGTTCATAATGACAAAAGATTAGATATGCGAATTTGGGACAGTTTTTATATTCTTTGAGATTTTCCCGTATATTCGCATTTATGATTCCACATTATCAAGATCTGCAGTTTGTCCAGGGTAAAATTATTATTATTCCTGATTAAATAAACGCGACTGATAAGGACACATGTAACATTTGTTTTATATTATTTAAAATTTTCGAATATATGCGTGAACTTATTGATATTAGATGGTTGGATGCAATCGGCAAGAAGCCTTGTACCTAGATTTCGTGCTAGTTGGCACTCACCAGTCAGCAAGGCGTATCTGCAGCCTTAAAAGAACTCTTGTCCCTTTTGATATTCAAACACACGTCACCCAGTATTGCAGTCACAGTGTTACCACTGAGCTATTCGGATTCGTGATTGACCTTCTGTAGGACTGCATTGGATACTTTGATACTTTGGTTTAAACCTCAGAAGGGACATGAGTTCTTTCAAGGTTGCAGATATGCCTTTTTGACGAGTGTTAATTAGCACGAAACCTAGGTCCAAGGCTTCGTGCCGATTGCCTCCAACCATCTAATATCAACAATTCACAGTGCACCGTGATGGCGAGCCACCTAGCTTGGTGGCCACATTACAAACCTGACTGATAGAATTCAGTCTGCAACAAAGATAGGATTAGATACACTACACATAGTTACTAACTAGGGTTTAATCAAGGCGTGAACCTTGTTATAATGCCTAGTTCCCCTTGAAAATAAGAATTTTGAATAGTTCCAGGGAATCACAGGAACATTGTAACTTGTACTTTTATGTATTTAAGAGCTAGTAAGTAGTAAAGCATTCACGAAGTTATTACTTCCGATGTGGAATAACATTCGCACTAGGCTTACATAACACAGAGTAAAGTGAATATGGTTACCTAGTGAAAATTCAATCCTTTAACGCTTATCCTTCTGTTAGGTAATCAAATTCAGAGATTTATGTTAAAGTATACCGGCGGTTTAAAAACTAATTGCTCAACCTTGAAGCTACGTCAATTAGGGACACTAGAAACTTTTATCTGGTTATCACGAAATTAGTTGCCATATGACTTTTCAGAAGTTAGAAGCTGAAGATCAGCCATGAAATACAATTCAAATATTTTTATTTTTGTCTCAATAAATAAATTAAAGCATATAATATCACTCATTTTAAAAACAAAATTCCTTTTTAGATTTAAAGGAAAAACTAAAACAAATGTGTCATTCAGTTCAAACAAAATCTTTATCCAAACATCAAGAAGTAAAAGACAATAACAGTGAAAACTCCACTCCATCGAATTTATATACTATGGATACTTCGACAAGGAATACTCAATCATCACCAATAATGTACAATAATAAAGAGAATTATAATCCAATCGATAACAATATTTTAATTCCATCAGAATTAAGCGCATTTACACCGATTAGAAGAATAAAAGATGAACAAAACTTTGAATATCATTCGACACCGATACAACTACCGTCTCTTACAGCAGATAGTGGATACTTTGATATATATTCGTCATTATCAACAACACCTTTGAGAACAACTGAAAATATACATTCCACTAATTTACAAATAAATAGTTATACTTATCCCCATCAAACATATAAACAAGATGATACCTCAGTAATAGCACTTCAATCAAAGGAGAATATCTTAAAGTATGAAAAGAGTTCGACCACTTCTTCAGATAGTAAAGATGTATGGAGACCATATTTGGACTGACTGATTGACTCACTGACTGACTGACTGACAACAAGTTTGATTTTAGATTATTTAACTGTAATTTTGTTTTGATTTTTTTAAGCATTGCGCCTATTTCATACCATTTTTAATAACTGTATAAATAAATACACATAACACATGCATAGATAACAAATTTTATTTCTGGACACAATTTTTTTCCATCTAACTTTCAACAGATTTGTAATTATGTGTTAAACTGTTTTTATCTAAAATATTTTTTAAAAAATCAATCATATTTTATATTGAGTTATTATTCGTGAGTGTGAATAAATTTTACTCTGACGGTACCTTTTAGTAGTTTTTCTCCAAAACCCAACTACGATTTAGTAATATGTGTTAACAACATTGGCTAGTGATCAGTATACACTGAAAGTTTAAAGAGATTACAGGATTTCATCATGAGTTGACGTCGGTTAGAGAACTACTGGAAAACCTCCAAGGAGTAGTGGACAGCTGTCTCGTCCTAGTTTGGGACTAACTCTTCATCAGCATGCACCCACCGGGGTTTGAAACCAGGACCTTCTCGTTATAAGGCGAGCTAAACTCGCAGACCATTAAGCCACTGGGACCCGATCCAACGACCAGCCCATGATTCCCAACTTCTATCAATTCACCATAAAGCGCAACCACTAGTCAATATCATCGTTGGAGAGTATTTGTTCTCATACCCTACCTGCTGTATCCTACTGGTCACGACTTCCCACTAGAACCCAGGTAACTACCCACCTGAATAGGGTCAATCGCTAGTGAGCATCTCATTGATATTCAAGTATTGGTTTGAAGGGATTTGATTGATTGGTTACAGGATTTTATCATGAGCTGACATCAGTTAGAGAACCATTGGAAAAGCTGGGAGTAATGGGCAGCTTCTTAATTACCGAGTTTCCCGTGTCGTGTGTCATCATATAAAAAATTTTCTATGTAAAGGGTATTTACTTAAAAGAAAAGATTATCATAACGTCACTACTTGCCACATTCCGTGATTAGGTTGCAAATCTCTAATAGGATGTCTATCACACTGTTAGTGAAAATACGACTTTTCTTCAGATGCTCTTATTCTTTTGAAATCTAGTTACACAGTATCCCGTGGATTGCAGTCAAGCCTCTAGAAATGTTTAAAGACACTTCGATATTACAGCTGGATATATCCTAGAGACTATAATGAGGCGATTCAGGTGAAACTAATTAAAAATAATAGCTAAATAATATAATAACAATTTAACAATAAACTAACATTCAAACTATTCGTATATATATTCTATTTACGGTTCACTTAGAAGGCTGATTTGAAACGGATAGACTACAAAGTCACTTTCATTGTATGTCGGCATTCATTGTAATATATCAAATAAAAATCGGAAGGCTTTTTAATAATTCTGGCTCGTGACTATATTACTGTATAGTCGAATCTCAGACTAAATACATTATCATACACCTTTTTATGTTGATCGGTCTTTTACATGATAATCAATAATAATCGATGAACGATTAAGGTATCCAGTAAATGTGAATATTTATATATTAAACAAAATAATATATATTCCATCATTTACACATACATGTGATTTCTGAACAAAATTGATCATATTTTGATATTATTTTGGCAGTACATGCTGTTTAAAGGAATGTCCCATATTATCATGATATCTAACTAATCGTTTCTTTTTTGGTTATAGGCGATTAAAAGTCGGATCCAGAGTATGCATTTCATCCTAATTAAAAATCTTCAGCTGGATGTACCTGAATCCTTGTTAGTATTGGTGTCTGGGCTGACAAGTCATCCCATTACCCATAGTTTCAAATATCAAAACACTATCCACTAGGTTGTTAAGCCATGAATCCAACAGACATGATTCGATATTACTTATTTATATTTGTGGTTTCCCCCTGATATTTCTAAAGGAATGCCGAAAATAGGGAAGGGGAGCGTTTTAAACAACGGATGGTATTGTCAAGCCATAGTAGGCACACTATCACTGACTGTGGATACAGGTACCTCTGAATGTTACGCATCTTCTAGTCTCCGCTGGCAGTCATCACTCAATAAATAAAAAGATATATGATTTACTTACGGACGTTATTAACTCTAAAATCATATTTGAATAGAATTAATGTCCGATATCAGCCTGACAATATAAACATTTGAGAACTCAATACATATGAAGAAGTATTACACATAATTTATACAATTAGAAATATTCGTATGTTTGAATACCGTCTATATAGTTTTGTAGCTGTAGTTGATATGATTATGAACAATAAATTGTGTTCGAAAAGTCATCCATAAATAATACTGTTTCAATGTATGATATATGCTTTAAACAATTTAAATATGGAAATATTGTGTTTTGACTGTAATACATCGAGAGACTGAATTCATTACTTTGAGAAGCATTTGGAGAGCGCATTGTTTCCTTGTGATTCGGTGGAATTTTGTTCTATATAACGCTTTTTACAACGAATTTCTAATGAGAAACCATGGATAATGCCATCATCCGAAATAAATACAATAACAATAGACCACTAATGCAATTGGTCAAGAGATACATCCAATTCCTGACTTAAAATTCCTAGGTCATATGATTTCTGTCAACGCTTCTGAAATATCTCATTGTAGATTGAAACATTTTTCTCACTGACTTCTCATTTGATGTTTGGTAGTTGGAGGAAATCGACAGGAAGCCTTAGACCTAGACTTCTTGCTCACTGCCATTCATCTATAAGACGTATCTGCTGCGTGAAGAAAATTATGTCTCCTCTGTTATTCACCCTTCATCGCCCAATGATATCAAATCAGGGTACTTGATAACCTCCTTCAAGACTGAAGTAGATACTCCGATTGGCCACTAGGGATTAAACGTTGTTTATACCATTATATGTAATTTCATTTTCCTTCAGCATTAATGTTGGAGTTGAATTTCTGTGTTCTGTAGCTGTCGAATTCATATTTATGCAAGGTAATCGACCGATATTTATAGGATGGATATTTATGGTATACTTGTATGTATAAAACTAAGTTATATTGATTTTCATCAATTCAAACTAATCGACCAGCATTAAATACTCACAGTTTAATACAAATATCTGGAGCATTAAACTTTTTTGATACAATTTCTACCTTAATAGGGAATTTATGATTGTTTTGCTAAAAAGGAAAATAACATAATTTCTAAAGATGATAAAATTCACAATGCGAATTTCTACTGATGAATTGTTGATGAGTGCTAATTATTACGAAATCCAAGTCCAAGTTTCCCTGTCGATTACATTCAACCAGCTAAAATTTAATCATTAATTTAGAAATAACAATAGCGCAAACATTAGAAATTGTTACAGGATTTCATCATGAGCTGACATCGGTTATAGAACTATTGGAAAACCTCAGGATACTGGACAGCTGTTTCGTCAGCCTGGTTTGGGACTCTCTATCAGTGCGCACCAACCAACAGGGTTCGAACCCAAGACCTTCCGGTTACAAGGCGAGCTCGTAGACCATTAAGGCACTGGTACCCGATCCAATGGCCATTCCATCAATCCCTACTTCTGCCAATTCATGACATAGCGTAACCACTAGCCAACGTCTTCGGCGAGTATTTGTTGATCGAAGCATTTACAATTTATATTATAATGATAAATATAAAGTTCATGTGTAGAATTGGGGAAAAGGAAAACTCAGTAAAGTGAAGTCTACTAACCAGTGCAAAGAAAGGTTACTCAATTAACTTATAACAAAGAATCCAATAAGTTTCATGACTGGTTGAAAATATTCTTTGATATATCCTCAGCGACAAGTTTAGTAACCTTAACATTTTCTAAATGTTTAGTTTCTTAGTACAAGTACAGATTTCAATAAGAAATCTCATATTCGTTATGTGTTGTAGTGATTTTATTGATACAATAATTGCTTTTCTTTAGAAGTATATTCTCAGGATTGTGTTCAGACACCACTGATCTTTAACAACTAATCAGCATAAAGGTGCAATAAAAATCTCAAAACTATTAAAAAGATGACTACAGATCACGGTATTCTGAGATCCTTTTATACATCTGACTGCGTCCCTCAACCTCTCTAAAAACCTCACTCCTGTCAGCAGTCTCCCCATATATGTGATTTGGTAGTTCCAATTAATCCATTATTCACACATAAGTGAAGCATTCGATCTTCCTGGAACTCATTAGGCAAATCCAGAACAGAAGGCGCAGTTTGATTTGGTTATACCACCTGTAACTCCTATTGGTTGTCAAATACCATTTACCGGAGTAGCTGATATAGCTTAACTTTTGCCCAGAAAACGTAATGAAAGCCCTTGTACCTGCCATTTCAATGTACATGCAACCACAAATGCACTTAATTTCAACATATTTGAAAGTGATGTTAGCTAGATATTCAATTCCTTTGATGTCATGCTTATTTACTACGAGTCGTATTCTCAGTGTGTTTTAGCAGTGTATGGCGAATCAATAAATGCATTTCGACCTTTTTTTACTAAAAAGAATTATATGGACTATGTTTATAACTTAGAATCATAACGTAGAATTACGGATTACTTTAAAACATCATATTTTCCTTCAGAACAGATATCACATAAAAAATGTGTTATCAATATTAAATTTCAAAAATCAATCACTGTATACATTATTTAGTAACTCAGAATGAGGATAACAATTGTCTGGTGTTCTCCAATCTTCAGTATTTGAACGCGGGCGTTCATCATCAGGTTTGATAACATTCTCAGGACAAACTTTAATAAGAAATAAAACATATTACCAATTTGTATGAACACTAGGATTTCCTTCACCTCCTTATTATCCGATTGTATATTGTCGCATATTCTGGCGCTTCAGTTTTGACCTGTTCAGTTGAATTTTCTTCTCATTTCGTTGAGAAGTGAATGCTATTCTTTCTGAATAGGCTGTAGGTCAGTTCCATATTTCTGTTGACTGAAGTTCCATTGAGTACCAGGCTTCTTGAAATTCTC